TCACTATCTTGGGCTTTAGAGATCTTGAGAGAAGCAGTCGTATGGGAGCGAGAAGCAGCGAGGGCGGTACCACCGCCCAGACGAAAGGCAAACAATCGACGGAGAGTCAAGAGAGGATACCCCGAGGTTTCTTGCTCGTATTCTTTGTTAAGTAATAGTTTGAGTAAGTTAGAAGGAACGATAATCTAATTTAATGTTGAATATCTATAATATTCAATTTGAAATGATCTATTAATAAACCGAAAACTTATGATTAAACAAAAGAATATTATTAGGAAAATGTTTTTGTCCTTTCATACCAATGTATAATATATTTGAATAAAATAAATAAAATATTAATTAAAATCAAACCAAGATTGATGAATTTGTATATACATATTATTATTATTATTATTTTATATAATCATTTATTACATAATTTTTCATAAATTTATATAAAAATACTTTTTGTTACGGATACGATGAGATCTAATTAAGAGGAATATTTCAAAATTGATAATAACATTCTATTTAATTAATTTTTTTATTGAAAATGCATTAATTGTGATTAATCAACTTAAATCGGGTTTGTTCGCATGTCCTTTTTGGTACCTCAAAAGCAATAACCTTTTTGCGGCCACAAAAATTCCAAACGTTCACAACATTTTATATGAATACTTTCCCTTTTCCTCCATTATAATTAATGCTTTTGTTTCACTTTTTATTTACCAAAAACATTTTATAAGTGATCAAAGGAAATATATTTTTATAGATAAATATTATAGCCAAAACATTATTTGATTCAATGATAGTAGTAGCGGATCTAAAAAGTATTTTAACTCAGATTTCCTTAGATTCTAAATGTGATCCGAAACAATTTCTCATCTTTCTCCTTTATGAAAAATAAACAAATAATAAAGACAGTATCATGAAAAAAGGGTTTTCTTTAGACATATATATGGGCTTACATAAAATCAACGCTAAACTGCAGTTGCATGCTATGGTCCATCATACAGTGAACTGGTACAAATTAACGATAGGATTTAATTTCAGGCAACATGCATTGGTTGTCGTCTCATTACATTCTTAATCATCTTTAAAATTAAGCCAAAAACAAGGAAAACTAGAAATAAAAATTCTTCTTAAACCGCTAGTCATAAAGCTTTCAAAGCTAGCAGTGGGAGCCCTTCCTACAGTTGAGTGCACCAGCAGTGACCGTTATAGTAGCCACAAGTGAAGATGGCCTAGCACTTAGGCTGGAAGCCCTAGCAAAGGTCGAAGATGCACCTGCATGCCCGGTTTGCCTGAAAAACGCTCCGTTTAACATCATGTCCCCCTCGGATCTCCAGTTCCACCCTCTCCACTCGCTCTCCGGTGCATCCTCATGCTTCGTCACCTACACAAAACCATTACATTTTCATGATCTCAAACCATTGTATATACCGGAGCAAATGTATGATTTTATGTTAAAGATTGAACTTATAAAATTTTAAACAATGAAAATATATTATTAACAAAATATATAAAAATATATGTAAAGCATATGATAATTTGACATTTCCAAATACGACATCCCTAGCCGTCCCTCTCGGTCCATCGTGTGTGTGTGTACGAGTGTAACTGGAAATTACCTCTTTCTTTGATCTATCGTTGGGTGCTAGAAATCTATTTCCTTGGCTGTTGATAGTAGGGTTTGCACTCCCACCAATTGCGTACATTTCCCAATGAGTATAGTCATTGTTCACCACGTGGAAAAATCCGTGTCTACACCTGCAATTTAGAATAATATATACATTTAAAAACCGGACCGACCGGTTCAATATAATTGAACCATTCTTTTTAATTGAAAAATCGAAAGTTTAACACTGACCTTGGCATTCTTTGAACTAGTCCTTCCCCGAAATGGTTAAAGGCAACAGTGACTTGCATGTTTTTGTCCTGAGTATAGGCATCATTGTGGCCCAGAAGCATTACTTTATCATGATGGGTCATGTAGTTGTTCGATATGGTCACGGCCGTGGATCCATGGATGACATCGATGAGCCCATCATTGCAACTCGACAACGAACAATGATCGATCCATACATGCTTGCTGTTGAAGACGACAATACCGTCACCGTCCGATTGTCTCCAATGCCCCGCATGTTGCGGAGAGTCTCTTATAATCGCACTCTGTCCTGGCTTACAATCATGAATGTTGATGCCGTGGATGATGATGTTCGACGCATAATGGACGGTGATGCACGGTCCTCCCGAAATATGAACGTTCGCGCCTCGACCATCGATGGTCTTGAAAGAGTTCATCACCAACTCCTCTTTCAACGTAATCACCATATCCCTCTTGAAAATGATCCACAACGGCTCGTCCTGGATCGCCGCATGCCTCAATGTACCCGGCCTAGGGTTCACAGGGTCATCATTGCCGGAGTCGGTAACAACGTAGATTTGACCGTTCTTGCCTCCCATAGCATTCTTCCCGAATCCGATGGCACAATCGGCTAACCTTTGACGGTTCCTCTCCCAGTTCGGGTCACACCTCCAACAATCATCAATAGGGTTCCCTGTTCCACAAGACAAGTAACCCAAGTTCCTCCTCGAAGCATTGATACTCCTGAAAATGAATACATTACAAAGTATACATTAATCTTATAAAATACATATACATTACAAGAATATGTGTATGTATATATATATATATATATATATATATATATATGAATTACTTCTGAACTTCATCGACAACAAACTCAGGGTCTTGAACTGGCGAGGAAGAAGAAAGATTTGGACGCAGGAGGGAAACTAAGAGAAAGATGAATGAAAGTGCCATTTGGGATATAGTGGGAGGATACGCATAGTTCCATGGTGGATGGTTTATTTAAAGGGTAAAAGCCGGGACGTATGGCGTGATTAATCGAACCAAGTGGGTCCAAATCACTCGTAATTTCAGGGTATGTTTTTTTTTCAAGTCTTGGGGAGTCGTATTGGCAGTTTAAATAGTTAATCAAGCCTCAACAAAGTCAAATATCTCATCATGAAAGTCAATTTCATTGAATACCTCCTTGCCGTTACTTTGTAAACGGTTGGATTTAGTAGAAAAACTTTAAATTGTTAATTAATTTTGAGTAATTATAAAATAGTATATATTCAAAATTTTATTAGTCAATTTACAATGAATGTACACATATTCTACAGATATAGATATTCATTCAGAGATCTTTATCACTGAAATAATTTAATTAATTCTAATTTTAAATTTTATACAGGATAAATTATATTAAAATAGACAATAATGTATAATAATTTTTTATGACAAATTCGAAATTTAATCTTAATCCTACTTAGAGGGAACATAAGATATAACTCTAGGGAAAAGAAGCAAAGTGCTTCTAACAGATCCAAAACTCATAATCTAAGAAAAATATGAAGGAACAAAGATGATCGGTTTGACCAACTAGCCAAATGTGCTCAGTGATGTATAATCTAAATTTTAATTTTGCTTGTTAGTATAGGTCCATAATTTGTAGATCCATACTAGATTAATGGAACATGTTTTGTCCTACATTTCTTGAGAATTTGGAAATTTGGACGTCTTTTATTGACTTGCAAACATGTTATAACAAGCTAGCTAATGAGAAATATGTGAAAATGATGTTCCCCTTTTCTCATTGTTCCGTAATATCAGCAAAGTATCTTATCGACTTTATCATCACCATCGTAGAGTTAATATATGCGTAATGGAATAAAATTTTGACCGCAATAGTTGATATTTTAATATTTTATATATATCATCTATTGATTAATTTAATTAAACGGAATATTGTAGAAATTTATTATGTGGTAATTCATTCATAATTAGGAATGAGTATTCGGTCGAATTAAGTCATATCAAAACTTTTGAATTATTTCAGTCGACCAGTCATATTTTAGCATTTAAATGTTCTTTTAAAATTTTTCTCGTACCACATAGACTTTTCTCACTCGTTGAGGTCTTTCTTAAGTCTGATAATGATAGTGAATATTTTTCTCACTCGTTGGGGTTTGTCTTTCTTTCGGGAAAAATGAATTGTTCATCTCACTCGTTGTGTCGATACACCACAACAAAATAGGGTGACCGAATGAACCTATCAAAAGGGTTATTGGTGTTACTCTTCTTCTACCAAGAAAGTATTTTCTTCGATGGATGTTATCTTCCTTGAACATAAACCTTTTTTCTCTAAGTCTAAATCCAGGGGAGAGTGAGTGTGAATTTCAGTTTTTTCGGTCCATACTGAACTACCCATCAACCTCTCTCCTACTGTTGAACTACCTATTAATATCTCTCCTAATGAACCTATCAAAACTCATCCATCACCTGAAACAACTAATCAAACACCACCTAATACCACCACCATACCTGATACGAAAAACCTACACCAATCATTAACCCAATGGATTCAACCCAAACACCAAATACATATGTGTCACCATTTATTTCCCAAACCAATCTTCTTACATACAAAAGACGACCCAAACATACCTCAATGGTCCCCACACCGCTGATGCATTGTCAAGAGACAAAACCAGGCTTAAATTCCTTGGAAGGTGAAAAGGGGTGATCAGAGTAATTTGGATGTTTTGGTTGATACTAGTGAGCTACTGATTGCTCAAAGAAAGGGAGTAAGAAGGCGTATAACTCATCCTGTTAATAAATTTGTTGCTTATCATAAACTAATGTCTGGTTTTAAGACATTTACATCTAAGATCGACAACATTCACATTCTAGATACCATAGAAGAAGCTTTAAAAAGTCCTGAATAGAAGAAGGCGGTAGAAGAAGAACTCTCGGCTCTTGAAAACAATAAAAACATGGGATATTGTTGATCTTCCTAAAGACAAGAAATCAACTGACAGCAAATGGGTCTTTACAGTCAAATACAAGGCAGATAACAACATTGGGCGGTATATGGCTAGACTTGTGGCAAAGAGGTTCATTCATACTCATGGAGTAGACTATCAAGAGATTTTTGCTCCTATTACAAAAGTCAACACTATAAGAGTATTGTTATCCTTAGCAGTAAATAATGATCGGATACTTCATCAACTTGATGTCAAGAATGCATTTCTCAATGGCAATCTTGAAGATGAGGTTTATATGTGAATTCCACCAAGGGTACATATGCAATCTGGAAATCAACAAGTATGCAAGTTGTTGAAGTCATTATATGGGCTAAAATATTCTCCTCAGGCTTGGCTCGATAGATTCACGAATGTACTTTTGAAAGACAACTGCAAGCAATGTTAATCTGATCACACTCTGTTTGTGAAGATTGCTCCAAACAAGAAAAGGCAATCTTAATTGTCTATGTTGATGATATCATCATCACAGATGATGACTTAGGAGAAATCAAGAAATTGAAGACGTTACTAGAAAGAGAATTTGAAACCAAGGATTTAAGGACCTTGATATATTTCTTAGGCATTGAAGTGGCAAGATCGAAAGAAGGGGGATTGTCATAATCCAAAGAAAATACATTATGAACCTACTATCTGAAACTGGGTTTAATGGTTGTAAGCCTTTGAAAACTCCCATGAAATTAAATTTCATGTTAAAGAAATATGGAAGTCCAGTAAATAAGAAGCAATACGAAAGGTTAGTAGGCAAGCTCATCTATATGTCACTTACTAGACTGGACATAGCTTTTTCGGTTAGTATTGTAAGCCTGTACATGAATGATCCTAGAGAACATTTGGAGGCAGTATATCGAATTCTGAGGTATTTAAAGATGACACCAGGAAATGGTTAATTTTTAGAAAACACAAAGATAAAACAATCAAAATTTTCTCATATTCAAGTTAGGTTGAAGAATTAACAAATAGGAGATCGACTACAAGTTATTGTTCGTTTGTGTGTGGAAACTTGGTGACATAAAGAAGCAAGAAACATGTAGTTTCCAGGAGTAGTATTGAAGCAGAATATAGGGTGATGGCACTTGGAATCTGTGAAGGCATTTGGTTACAAAGACTCTTGACTGAGCTAGAGGTTTGCGACAGAACCTACTTTGAGCTTCAAAGTGAGAGTAAATCAACTATAACTATTGCAAAAAAATCCAATATGTCACGACAGAACCAAACATGTGAAAATCGACAAATACTTCATTGTTGGAAAGGTGAATGACATAACAGTAAAACTAAATTATGTCTCTTCAAAAGACCAACTAGTCGATGTCTTGGCTAAGGCGTTTTCAAGGATCAATTTCGACGAGATTACATTCAAGTTGGGTCTCTATAACACCTACTCCCCGCCTTGAGGGGGAGTGTGAGTATATTACGTTTAGATGTACTTATTAGAGTTCTACTTTAACACCAATTCTAGAAACCTATTTTGTAGATAAGATAACCTCTAACTTATCTAGGACTCTTAATCAATACGTGTATAATATAACCGTATTGTATCTAATTTATTCAAGTTGAGAAATTAAAATGTCTTATTTTTCTAGAACTTCATTTTTACACTCTTGCACCAGAAGTCAATCCTCATCAGAGCCAATTCAAAACTGAACTTCGGAAAAACTTTTCCCGTTAAAGAAAGAATTATTCCAACTTAACCAAATAGTCTAAACGACTCTGAAGAAAGCTATCCTCCAAATCGATTTACGTGAATCTTTAATAGGTTAACCTTCCCAAATTGTAAGAAAGTCCTTCATATTGTCAGGACAAACGAGAAAGATGTTCTACCAATGACACCATCTTTTCAAATCCTCCACACGAACTTAAAGTGGCAAAACAAATGTGTAACAGTTTCTGCTCCTTAAGGTAAAACACACATAGAGTAGTGGGAATCGAGACTCCTAGTTTAAATAGTTCAACAACGATTGAGATTCTATGCCACACCTCCTTCCAACAAACGCCTCGACCTTAGGCCACTAAATTTACCCAAACCAATTTCCAACAGCTATCCGAACCTGAGGTGCTACTAACAGCATACAATCAGTAACTATTAGAGGAACAAAATACATTAGGCGAGCCAAACCAACCCAATCGATCCTCGTCAAAATGACTGACCATTGCTTTATTAATCACAATCAAGAACTCTTCCCCAATACTATGTTCCCAATCAAAAAAGGCCTTTCTTACCTCTATATTCCAAGACCAGGACCCGTTAGAAAATGAGCCAAAATCAGCCACCTTACCCTTTTTCTTAACTCCCACGCCAAAGATCCTGGGGAATGACATTTTTAAAGATGGAACCTCAGTCCAATGATCTTCCCAAAATTCAATGAATCTTCTATCCCCACGACACACTAACATTGTTGCAAACAAAACAACTGGATTATTTAGCGGAGATGAGAAATTATGCAACAAACGTGAAGCTTTTTCAATTGAACTATCTTCGGAATCGGTAAAAAATGATCTAATCTACACTTTGCCTCTAATACTTCCTCCATGATCTGGTTCGCACCCAAACCTCCACAACCATTTATTCAAAAGTGTGCGATTTTTCAAACTTAAATAAAAGAAGCCCAATCCACCTTGCTCCTTAGGAAAACATACACTCTTCCGCTTAATCATTGCTCCTTAGGCAATGATTTTATTAAGCTTTTAGGTGACAACTGCCAGCATTTGAAACAACGACAGATAGTATACCGATAACTTAACTAGGACTAATTGAACCAATGTGATACGCCCCCCAAAGGATAAAAGATTCCCCTTCACCCATCGAGCATAGATTGGAATTTATCCAAAATGCGTCTCCAAATCTCCACCGAACCCTCAATTGACTTAAAGAGAGACTGAGATACTTTGTAGGAAAACGATCCTAACCACACCTAACAATATCCAACCACTTCTAAATACAATTGTCCTCCATATTTATTCCAAAAAGTTTAGACTTATTCGAGTTGAGTTTTAATCCCGAGGCGGCTTCAAACACTCGAACAAGTCTTAATATTTCTGGCTTGATCCAAATTAACCTCAGAGAACACAATCAAGTCATCTTCAAATTGTAGATGTGAAACACGAAGATCACTAAACCCCACCAAAACACTCTTAATATGCACAAACACTTTATTGATTAACCCGCTCAAGGCATCTACAATGATGTTGAACAAGAATGGTGATAAAAGGCAGCCTTGACAAAGCCATTTCTTGGTACAGAACTTGATGAGACTTCGTTCAGCAAGATTGATATAGAGACTGTTGAAATACAAAGACGTGTCCATCTCCTCCATCTGCTACCAAAACCCATTTTCTTCATGATGAATAGCAAAAAATCCCAGCCCATCGAGTCATATGCCTTACCAAAGTCTGCCTTAAAGATGATCTCTTCTCTTACTCAAATCATCAATCAGTTCATTGATATAAAAGAACAACCGAAAATCTACTTATCAGCGGTGAAGGCAAATGGAGCTCCGCCCATCACTTCAGAGATAGGTCTAAATTCGTCGAAGCAAACAAGATTACTCTTCTTGGGAATAAGAGTAATAAATGAATAATTGATAAAGTTATCGATCGAAATTCCATTTGTAGAATGCACCAAAAAATCCATAATCTCGCTTTTGAGGAGTGACCAAAACCTTTTATAGAAATTGATGTTGAAACCATCAGGCCCCGGGTCCCTAATGCCATCACACGACTTAATAGTGGACCACACTTCCTCTTCTAAAAGTAGTGCTGCAATGGCACTTTTGGAAGACCTCCCCAATTTCTAAAATTGTACTTCAAAAGTTTTAATTGGGATTGTATTAGTTTCATTGAAACTATCTCGAAAATGATTGACGGAAGCTTTGAAAATTTGTTTCTGGTCATTCAACACCGAATTCCCAACTCTGATAAGAGAAATATGATTGATACTACCTCTTAAAGCGGTAAATATACGAAAGAATATTTGTTTTTATCACCCTCTTTGAACCGCTTTAGTATGGATTTCTACAGCCACTCTCTTTCTACTATCCTATACATTGACCATAGCTTCCCTTTAAGAGATCTAACCTCATCGGCAACCCAGGATGATAACACTACTTCAAGGGCTTCGATCTTTCTTTCTATCTCTATGATAGATACCTCATCCTTAGAATTCGCCACGGACGCCCACAACTTGGCCGCCCCATTCAACTCTCTCAAAAGGAAACACGAGCCTTTTCTTCGACATTTATCACTGCCTAATTTAACCAATTCACATAATCCTTCATCATTCGCCTAATGGGAAAACCATTTAAATGGACATCGAGCTCAAACCATAGATTCTTCTTTGATAACCACGGGGTTATGATCCGAGAGACTACGAGGCATTGTAGATTGAGAAAGCTTAGGATAACAGAGCATAACTTCTGGTGAAATAAGAAACATATCTAATCTGTTTGTCGTGACAGAATCGTCCCCCCGAAACCAAGTAAATTGACTCCTGGATAGCAAATCAATAAAATTCCCGCATTGAAGACGAATTGGCAGGACTCCCCTTTTTTCCACTTCCAACTTGACAGAGTTAAAGCCCCCCAATATTGACAAGAATCCCAAGTTGTACGATAATGTCATTCAACAAATTGAAGAATTCTTGCCTTTGACTTATTTCGTTAGGGGCATACACATTGAACAAAGCAACTTTCATGTTTGATGTACGAATACGACCTCCAAAACTATGAGCCTCTTCTGCAAAACTTTCCTATCGACCTCAATGAATTTGGGATCCCAAAGCGATATTAAGCCCCTCGATGCCCCATCAGATGATACAAAGCGGATTCACTTAATCTCGACCCACCTAAACGGTTCACTACCCACGAATAAACTTCTTGTAGCTTCGATTCCTAAATAAGAACAACTCTAGCTTTGCTCGCCAAAATTGTTCGACTAACAGCCCTCACTTTTTCTGATGTCCCTAACCCTCTTACGTTCCAAGTGGTAATTGAACCATTCATTTAAAATAATGAGGACAAACACAAACGAAAACGAACTCACCTGACACATTATTCTTGTTCACGATCATTGATTGCCTCTAACCTTTCCACAACTGCATGTTCAGGGGCATCAAACTTGACCCTGTTGTAGTTTACACTCAAGACTAACAGAATACTAAGTGAAGTAACTGAACTTGTTATTCACCAAGGTAGTACACCAGCCTTTTATACATGATAACTTGTATACCAACTTTACCAGACTCAATTAACAGACTTGTAACCAACCTCTAACAGCTTGACTAACCTGAATAACAACTAACTAACTCATAGTTCACACGTGCATTAGCTGCTGCTACCTACCACGTATGCACACATACATTCATACTTCAACATTCTCCCCGTCCTTCTCAACTCTCTCCTTCTCTGCCACCTGCAGTTGTTGTCGAAACAATGCATGAGCAGATTTTGGTAAGGGTTTTGTCATCCCATCAACAACCTGTTGCTCCGCAGGTACGTAGTTTACTTGAATTACTCCACAAGCCACCTTTTCGCGTACAAAATGTATGTCCAACTCTATATGTGTCGATCGAGCATGAAACACCGGATTAGCGCTCATGGAAACATCACTTGTATTGTCACTCCAGACTATAGGAGCTGTAGTAGCCGTTTTACCCATATAAAAAAGTAAAGACCGAATCCAGACTACCTCAGCTACTGTATCAGTAATGCTGCGATACTCGGCCTCTGTAGTCGAGCGAGCCACAATTTTCTATCTCCTAGCACTCCACAACACCAAGTTACACCCAAGGAATACGCACGAGCCCGAGACTGATCTGCGGTCATCAACGTTGCTAGCCCAATCGGCATCAGCAAACGCAGTCAAGCAATAGGATTCGGACACAGAAGCCGGTCGAAACACCAAGCCATAGTCAACTGTTCCACTTAAATATCGCAAGATCCGTTTCACAGCAAGCCAGTGACCATCACAGGGTCGATGCATATACTGGGCCACTCTACTAACACTGAATGCTATATCTGGTCTCGTATGACTCAGATACAGTAGGGAACCAACAACACTTCTGTACATGCACGCATCTGTAAACAACTTTCCAGCGTCACATGTTAGCTTAGGCGAGACTACCATTGGCGTTGGTACTGGTTTAGCACTAAGCATTCATGTTTGCTCCAGCAACTCGCAAATGAACTTGCGCTGACTCAAAACTAGTCGATCAGCCGACCTACTGACCTCAACACCAAGGAAGTAACCAAGTTCACCCAGGTCCTTCAAAGAAAATTTCTTACCAAGCAGCCCAACAACCTCATCAATATCACCACTCGACTCTCCTGTAATTATAATATCATCCACATACACCAAGATCAACGTACGAATTCCACCAATTTGTCGCACGAACAATGATGTATCAGCTGATGTACCACAGAATCCCAACTCTAGCAAGAAACGATGCAGCTTTGCATACCACATTCGTGGCGCCTGACGCAACCCATACAACGCCTTTTTCAACTTACAAACTAGCCGAGTGCCATCACTCGCCACTTGTTCAAAGCCTGGTGGTTGTACCATGTAGACTTCTTCACCAAGTTCACCATTGAGGAAAGCGTTATTCACGTCCACCTGCCTCAAGCTCCAGCCACGAGTCACTGCCAGTGACAGTACAACATTCACCGTGGTGGCTTTTACTACCGGACTGAATGTATCAGTGAAGTCACAACCCGATACATGTGAATACCCTCGTGCCACCAACCGAGCTTTATGCCTCAGAACGGATCTATCAGCATTATACTTAATCTTGAATAGCCATTTACACCCAACCGTTTCTCTTCCTTCTGGTAAAGGTTCAAGCACCCACGTGCCACTCCTTACTAGAGCATCATATTCAGCAAGTACAGCCTCTTTCCACTTTGGTTCTCTAAGAGCCTGACTAATCGTGCATGGCTCACTAGCACTTCCTTTAACCTATGTGACGAGCACTTTCAGATTGAAAATACCTCGTTTACTGTGAGTGATCATCGGGTGTTCATTGCCAACAACTGAACGCGCTGTGCCACCTTCACACTGTCCAGATACATCAGCTTAAACCGACTCACCCATCAACAACTCATAAGGCTGCTCTACCTATCCTGGCATTACATTGGCCACACTCTCACCTGTACTAGTAGCAACATTCTGGCTAGACCGATCAATACTGCTACTGGAGGCAATTTCAGGCACTACCCCACTGCACACTGGTGTATGCCCAGTTCCATCACGACCAGCCTGACTACTCCTTACACACACCTGCGAGGCACGACCACAGAAACGTTAAGTACCAGGGACCACCATCAGTGACACCCCAGTACCAAAACTCTCTAACCCAGTCAACCTTTTCTTATCCACATGTTCAGCAAACGGAAACACCTGCTCATCAAAGACTACATGGCGAGACATATAAACTCGTCCGTCAGGCGTTAAGCATTGATATCCTCGATGACTTACAATGTAGCCTAGGAACACACACGATAGTGACCTGTACGCAAGCTTATAGGGTTGAAATAACCGTAAGTGAGGAAAGCACCTACAGCCAAACACCCTTAGGTGATCATACGTTGGTGGTTTCCCAAACAATTTCTCAAACGGCGTATGTCCTCGAAGCACCTTAGTTGGCAGTCTATTAATCAAATTTGCAGCTGTTACAACCGTAAATGACCAGAACTTCAAGGGTAGAGAGGCTCGAGCTAGTAGTGTCAATGCTATCTCAAAGATATGTCTGTGTTTTCTCTCCACAACCCCATTTTACTGGGATGTGTGTAGAAACGTCGCTCGATATTGAATCCCACACCGAGTAAGCACAGCTGAGAGGGAGCGAAACTCACCTCCCCAGTCACTCTGCACCGCTTTAATCACCTGACCAAATTGTGTACGCACTAATTGTTAAAACAACTGAAATGCTCGAACTGCCTGCCCTTTTTCTTTCAGCAAGTACACCCAGGTGTGTCTCGAACACACGTCTACAAACGACACATAGTACTTAAATCCATTCGACTCAATATGCCCCGGACCCCATAGGTCAATAAAAACTAGTTAAAACGGGTTTTCATACTAAGTTTCAGACATACTGAACTGAAGCTTGTGGCTCTTACCCATATGGCATGGAACACATATATGAAGCAATTCTTTATTCATATTACTTGGCAAAGAAATGTTACAGTGTTTACAAACTTGCAACAACACCTTATGAGACGGATGACCTAAACGATCATGCCACAATACATGTTGACTACTGCTACTACTAGACTTATGAGCCAAATTTGCTTCAACATCTCTATCACGCCGAGCCAGAAAATCATCAAACTCATATAAGCCACCAACTTCTCTCCCTCGCAATAGTACAACACCCGACTTTTCATCCTGAACCACACAGTAACAAGCATGAAATTCCAAAAATACTCTGTTGTCCCTAGCAAGCTTGGACACATATATTAATTTCTTAGTTATTCAAGGCACATGTAATAAGTTACTTAGGTGGCGTTTGGTTCGCAGGAATTTCTTGGAATTAGGGGGAATTGGAATCCAATTCCACCACTTTTCCATGTTTGGTTCAAGTTTTCAAAGGGAATTGGAATCCCTCATGACTTCAACTTTCCATCAAATGAGGGAAAGTGAATTTCATCCATTCTATGATGGAATTTAATTCCCTTGTTGGAGGGAATTGAAATTTGACCATACTACCCTCATCAATCTTTTGCTATCTTATTCATATATTGAATAAAAATATTTTTTTATTATTTCGGGTCGGGTTTCTAATTCATATATTCGGGTCGGGTCGGGTTGGTTTTTTTAAGTGTGATATTCTGGTCGGGTCAAGTTCGGGTTTAGGGTGAAAAATACCCGACCCGAAAATATATATAATTTTACATTATATATTTAGTAATAATTACAATAATACCCCTCTATATATAATTTTTTTTCAATTAAGTCATTTTTTTATTGAATAAAAATAATTTTTTTATTATTTCGGGTCGGGTTTCTAATTTATATATTCGGGTCGGGTCGGGTGAAACTTTATTTTGGTCAGGTCAGTTTTTTTAAGTATGATATTCGGGTCGGGTCGGGTCGGGTTTAGGGTGAAAAATACCCGACCCTACCCGACCCAAAAAATATATAATTTTACTTTAAATATTTATGAATAATTGCAATAATACTCCTCTATATATAATTTTTTTCAATTAAGTCTGTTTTTATTGAATAAAAATACTTTTTTTATTATTTCGGGTCGGGTCGGGTGAAACTTTATTTTGGTCGGGTCGGGTCTCTGATGAAGGTTCCCTTGTTCTCGGGTCTGGTCGGGTGGACCAAAAACCCGACCCAACGGGACCCATGGTCTTCCCTAATTGGGATGATTTTAACTTATGATGTTTATTAGCATGATTTTTATAATTTATTGAAATGAATAATCAATCAATAAAATTAAAATTTAATATTTTTATAATTTTTATAAAATATTACTACATATAATTTATAAAACAAACTAAAATTAAGCAAAAAAAAATAAGAAGGACAATCTCGTCATTTTACATTACTAAAATCAAATTCATCTGACATGTCTGCGAACCAAACAGAATATGGAATTGGATTCCAATTCAATTTCCTGCCAACCAAACAGAATATGGAATTGGATTCCAATTCCTGACAGATTCCAATTCCTTCACAGATTTCAATTCCTTCACAGATTCCAATTCCATCAGAAACATTCTAACGAACCAAATGCCACCTTAGTATTAAAGACAAAGATGCAGTGTGAACCGAAGTTCGACCAACTTTAGCAATTGAAAGACCATCACCATTGCCTATAGTTAGCTTATCAGCACTTGTGTAATCTGATCCATCCAAAACCTCAACATCATCAGAAGTAACGTGGTGAGTAGCTCCTGAATCTACAAACCACGAGGTAGGAGAAGAACTTGTTACGGCTACATTGGCAAGTGGTCTGAGTCGGTCTTGATTCTCCAGACCTCCTGGACTTGCACTTGGCTTACTTGTACAAGCACAAGCATTGGAAGTATAGTGACACAATATTAGTTGTAGGCAACCACTCCTTGATCGAGCTTATCGCATCCGGTTCATCTATACCAGAAAATGACTTGTCAAACCTGTACCAGCATCGGTTGACAAGGTGGCCATTTTCCCACACAGTTGACACTGGACCTTGGCACGCCCTTGACCATGGCCAGCTTGATTGTTATAGGTTGTGTGCTTGTCTGTCTTGACGAGCGTATCGATCATACCTATCACCCACGGCATTCTTTACCTGCACCACATTAGCAGCAATAGCAACACTATCAAAGCGAGTGAAGTTTTTCTGTTGAGTCTCAGCATCAATAAGCACCGAGACTACTCCTTCCAACGTCAACGCATCACGACTAGCCGACAGCACCGTTACAACCGGCCTATACTCTGCTGACAAGCCATTCAAGATCGGACATCGTGCTGCCACACGATGCCAACGCATCACATATCTCTTTAACTTGAGATATGTACATGCGCATCCCTAATTCACCCTGATGAACTGCTTTTAGTTGATAGTGCAGATTCATCACCGCCGTCGTTGATTTACATGCAAAGATCTTGTTTATAGTGTTCCACACTTGCGCAGCCGTTTCTGCCCCCACTAGTTGTGGCAGCAAGGACGGATTAACCGTAGATAACAACCACGAGGCCAAGGCACTGTCTTGTGCCACGAAAACCTCATAATCCTCATTCTCAGCTATTGTGCCATCATCGAGCACAACCGTTGCAGGCAGAGGGGCAATCGAGCCAGAAAGCAGCTTCTCAAGTCGATGGCACCTCACCGTTAACAACACTTGTTGTTTCCACAACAATAAAATTTCGATCATCAAGAACAACGCTCAATCGTTTGTTGGTGAACCCCCTTTCGTAGTAAGTCCCAATCAATCGAAACTGCTTACAGCACCACTAGGAAGTGGAGAGACCGGAGGCATCATATCACCAGCGTATGCTCAGCCGTCCACGAGCAGACCTTCACCACGCCACCATATCACCAGCATCTGATACCATGTTGTAGTTTACACTCAAGACTAACAGAATACTAAGTGAAGTAACTGAACTTGTTATTCACCAAGGTAGTACACCAGCCTTTTATACATGATAACTTGTATACCAGCTTTACCAGACTCAATTAACAGACTCGTAACCAACCTCTAACAGCTTGACTAACCTAAATAACAACTAATTAACTCATAGTTCACACGTGCATTAGCTGTTGCTACCTACCACGTATGCACACATACATTCATACTTCAACAGACACCAATCTTTAATCCAAAATCAAAGGTATTCTTAGCTTCAACAGCATGCACAGACCAAAGAGAAAGTTTTATCGGCGATTAAAACATTTTTTGATGGAATAACCACCTTCTTCCCTAATTCAGGGTTACCTCTGATCCTACGCTTTTTCTTACCCTTTTTAGCATTTAGTTATTTTTTTTTACCATTTGACTTTGCTTTTTTCGTACTCAGATTTTCGATGTTAAGACCAAAGCTATCCCTGACATTTTGGCTGTCCAATAGACTTGGGCTCGCACATAGAAACCTATTATGCTGTGAATTAGGATTGGGCCTATCCATATCGTCAGTAGACAATCTGTCGACACAATTAGACTCCAATAGGAACATCAAGAAGCCTGGAACTATTTCATATGTCTGGACCCATACTAGGCGATAAATGCTCACCAATACCCCCCCCTCCCCCCGTCAAGCCACCGTCATCTTGGCCAGACATAATGGACGGCCCAGAGCCAGCAAAAATTGGGACTTCAAAAAGGCCTACACTACTAGATACAATCAACACCAGCTGATCATTCCTCTCCTCTGGCTAAACATGCTCATCATCATTATCTATTCGCCGCTTGACAAGGAATAAAAGCCGAAAAATGATTGTCACTATTATCCATGTTGTCCACCTCTACATTAATTGTTTCTTCAATACTGGGCACACCGACCGCCACACAATTGTCCTGTTCCCCTACCCTCTCAGCTGGTGATCGACCGTCAATGAAGACACGATCACCTTCGAAAATCTCAATGCTCAACTTAACTGGACAACTTTTTCCATTAACGTTAATGGAGATTCTGTCAGGACAGAATGGAGGACACGTTTTGATCTACCACCAATAGTGTTGCTTCGTCGAACCTGTTTCGATGAGGAGTGTATAAACATATGAATAGATCTCATATAACGTATTAACATATATTTCTTTATATTCCCTTTCACATTACAATATTATTTAATAAATCAAATTACATTTAACATTATAAAATATATTTATAATTTTATTTTTTAATAAAATATTTTGATGATAAAATATTAATCATAATAAAAAAGTCAAAGAATTAATGATAGAAAGAGTTTGCAAAAGGAAATTACAATATAAACTAAAAAATGAATAAAATACAAAAAAATGAGGGAATAAATTGCAAAAATAGTAAATTTATGTTAAAAACAGGAATTAATGCATCGTAGATATTTTATCATGGCAGAAGAATATGTGATTCATATTTTGTCAAAAATATATTTAAAATTAACGAGGAATTAGAGATAGAAAGAATTATGGGTAAGTATTTGATGGAGACGAATTGAATCAAGTTAAGAAATTTCAAGTTAGTCAAGTTAACGAGTCATACTTCACCATTTAAATTTTATTTGAATTTTTTGAGTCGATTCAAGTGTATAAAATTCAAGTCGAGCTGAGTTAATTTTTTGAATCTAATTGAGATTTTTTTCATCCATATTCATAACATTAGGATTAGAATTTCCGATAATATTTTAAGAATCTAACATTTCATTACAATGTATAAAATTTATAAGATAAATAAACATCCGAGATAAATTTTTTAAATCTTGATTAATTATATATTATTTCACAATATTTTACACCTAATTATCTCACTTTTATGTTAATTATTAAATAAAATTAAGCTATAATAATAGTAGAGCAAGTGTCTAGATTCAATATTTAGAATTAGAGTTTGGAGTTTAGAATGGAGAGTTGCATGTATTATCATCTTAGAATTAGGATTAGGATTTATATTCAGATTAACGATAAATAAAAAGCAACTAACATATTAATTAGGCATATTTATTTACACACATTGTAATATAAATTTGTGTTGAAAACTACTTTCAGATTAACATGTACCTTTTAAAGTTTTTTAGCTGGTTGAAAACTACTTTCAGGTCAGAAATAAATTGGAACAAAATTATTCATTTGTCTCGTTTATATCATTTATTTTATTATATTTTAAAACAATATCTAATATATATATATATATTTTTAAAAGTTTATTTTGATAACAATCTTAACATAAAAAATCTTAAATCAAACAATCTAAAAATTATTTTTACCACAATTTTCAAAAGCAATATTAAATTACTCACAATACTTATGATACAAGGGCCCGTTATGTAGTTTAACCTTTTATGAAAAATTATGTACTGGCTCAAGAAGTCCATCTTGAGAATGGGAGTCTTTAAATTCAAGGTTGTTGATTCCTGGTGTGTTTTTTTTTTGCACAATACCTCATGCGGGTAAATTAATTGGCCCAATAGGTTTGGAGAATAAGACATTTTCTACAGTATCACTAGGTGACGAGTTTCCTATGATATTTTTTTTTAATGGACATAGATGATTGGACCACACATATATTTTTTAAAAATATAAAAGTAATTTAATTTTTTTTAAATCAAATTAAAAAAAAGTAATCATTTATAGGTGTTAGTCACCGGGGAAAAACAAGGTTGGGCAACGGTCATCATGGAATTCGTCATCACTTTGAGGTGATGAATTCCATCGGATAAAAATTTTAAAAAAATAGTTACAAAGAAAAATAGTAATTGCATTTTAAAAAATAAATACAAAGTAAATTAATAATTGTAAAAAATAATTTGTTTACAAAAAATTTTAGAAAGAAAATTTATTTATATTTTCTAAGTTCCCGACGATGCCGATGAGTGGTCAAATGATAATAGCGCGGGGCTCGTCGAGTATGCTAGGGTCATCGGCCTTGATAGTCGTCGTCATCATCTTCATCTTGGTTTCGTTGTTCAAAAAGAGGTGTACTTAACACACTCTGAGATCCATCTTCAAAATATGATGAGGGCCTTATGGTATTTGACGCCATCATTGTCATTATTGAATCAACTTGGCTGCTACGTTGTTGACCTTATACAATATGATCTTATTCATCCTCACCCGCATGTTCTGTCGAAGATGTTGAGTGTGTTGCATTGCATCCTATGAACCTCCGACCCAAGTCGGTTGAGTCTTGGTTGAAGTATGATATGTAGGATAGAAACCGAAACTAGCTTGAGATACATAATAGTAATCTTCAGCTGCAGATGCTGAAGTAGTAGAAGAAACGACAATGATTTTTTTTGGACTTGGTAAATCTAGCCTGGTGTTGTCTCATTCTTCCCTCTCTTGCGCTGTCATGGGATATGGTTTCCCATTTGCTTCGTAATTTCAGAGATAGGGAGAATGGTCGAAATCTAGGTCTAGCGGTGTAATCTCATAACTTGGGGGATCGATAGGTGACATTGATACCATTGCTCAATGTAGTAAATGTGCTTCTCCGGCCAATTTTCGGTATGTTTCCCACGCATATCAATTCCATGGAGGGCGTTCATATCAACGATTTGCGTAAAAATCGACTGATGCGACCCAAATTGTCGCAATACTCTATTAGCGACATGCCACTCAACAATCGCAAAATGTAATACAGCGTCACGACACAATAAATTGAGCCCCTAAAAAATCTCAGTGGCAATAACCTATAGATCTCGTCGTCAATATAGGGAACCAATATGACGTCAAAAAAATTACAGTCTTGCAATATTACCTTCCACCAGAGGAAACTCAACTAGGGCTGTGTAATTATCGTTAAGAATGGGAATCGGTACCAAGCCCAAGATTGTAGTAATATTAGACAACCTACTACATCAATTTT